CCCCTCCCGCGTGGGGTGGAGGTGATGGCACCGAGGTGGTGGTGGTGGTGGTTTGGTGCACCTTCACCCTTGTTGGGGGGTTCTTGGACCCTCTTCTCCACCCCGTTTCGGTTGAGTTCTGCTCTCCAGTGGCACCAAACCCACCCGGCACGAGCTCAGGAAGGTCCACCTCCCTCCCAGTTCCCCTGGAAGTGGGTGAGCCGAGGGCAAGTGGGAGAGGGTAGGGTGTTCCCACCAAACCCACCCAAACCAGAACCACCACGTGAGCTCTCCCCGCCTGGGGAGGGATGGATGCGACTCGTGGGAAAGAGCCACCGAGAGGTGAGGGCAACATCCACACAGAGATGGGGGAAAGAACCACCAAGAGATGGGGGGACCATCCACTGAGAGATGGGGGAAAGAGCCACCAAGAGGTGGGGGGACCATCCACTGAGAGATGGGGGAAAGAGCCACCAAGAGGTGGGGGAACCAGCCACCAAGAGATAGGGGAACCATCCACCAGGAGATGGGGGAAAGAACCACCAAGAGATGGGGGGACCATCCACCAAGAGGTGGGGGGACCATCAACCAGGAGATGAGGGGACCATCCACCAAGAGGTAGGGGAAAGAGCCACCAAGAGATGGGGGAACCATCCACCAAGAGATGGGGGAAAGATCCACCAAGAGATGGGGGAAAGAACCACCAAGAGATGGGGGAAAGAACCACCAAGTGATGGGGGAAAGAACCACCAAGAGATGGGGGAAAGAACCACCAAGTGATGGGGGAAAGAACCACCAAGAGATGGGGGAAAGAACCACCAAGTGATGGGGGAAAGAACCACCAAGAGATGGGGGAAAGAACCACCAAGTGATGGGGGAAAGAACCACCAAGAGATGGGGGAAAGAACCACCAAGTGATGGGGGAAAGAACCACCAAGAGATGGGGGAAAGAACCACCAAGTGATGGGGGAAAGAACCACCAAGAGATGGGGGAAAGAACCACCAAGAGGTGGGGGGACCATCCACCAGGAGATGAGGGGACCATCTACCAAGAGATGGGGGACGCCCCGGCTGCCCGGTTCCCAACTCCACCCCATAGCGTTCCCCCCCCCACCCCCAACGGACCCCGATCCTGGCCACGGGGATGGACTCACCTACCGGAGGGGAAGGACG